GAGAGAGAGAGAGAGAGAGAGAGAGAGAAATGTTGAAGTAATGAGGTAATTTGGGTCTTTTTGAAGCATAATACATTGAACTACCCATTCAATTTGAGTAGGGTCAGGGAAAGAGAGCAAGGGAGCGAGAGAGTTGATAAAATAGATAGCCTACACAGGTTCTATTCAAGGATTTCAAGATATGTTCACAACAACCAAGTACTACCAAACATATGATATTTATTACACATTGCTTTTCAAATGTGCTACCAAACATGGGAGAAAGAGTTTGCAAAACTTTTTCTTGCAAACTGTTTACATAAGTAAATACTTTACCTGTGTAAATATTTAAGCATGAACCAAACGTGTCCTAAGGCATCTTTTGAGGACAGCTCAATCCCAAACAGCTTGTTTTTTGCTATATTTACCTTCTTTTTTTTGAGAATATTAACCTTAAAAAAGAAAACAGAAAAAATGCTATATTTACCTCAAAACCTCATAGAACACAAAAACCTAATAAACTTCCATAAATTGTCTACTTGTTGGAGGTTGGCATCGCAGAAGACGAGAGTGTCTTCCAAATACTAGAGGTGAGAGATAGCCAGGCCTCGCACGAAGGATTTGAAACCCTGAAGCATATTGTGTTCAATGAGATTTGTAATAGATTTACTTAAAACCATTCCATAATGGCAAATAGGAAGGGAGAGAGAAGTTCTCCTTGTGGAGGCCTCTCTTAGCCTGGAAATAACCTCTAGGCAAGCTATTTACGATGACGGAAAACCATGGGAGGCAATGCAACCTCTCATCGAAGAGCTCCGTTATGCTTCAAATCCCATTTGATTGAGCATTTGGCCTAGAACGGCCAATTTACACGGTCATAGAACCACTCCTACTTGGGTTGTTTAACTAATGCCTAGGGTTTGCACTCTTTGCAATCAGAGCACCATCCAAAAGTTGCACGTCCATGATGAACATCCCTTGCCAAGAGGAAATAATATAGTTTAATATGTGTTTCAAGTGCGAGACCAGAACCTTGGACAAGATTCTATAGGACTTTTTTAAGCAAACTCACGAATTTAGTAAGTCTTGAGTTCCTCAAACCCTTCAGGCGTAGGAGCTAAAAGATGAAACTAGAGTTTAAATTACAGGTCTACAAATACAATGTCTCTTTAGCGATCATAACATTTAAAGAACTTTCTAGCACTCATAGTCATGTCACCAAGATCTCCCAAACTTGGTGTCGCTCCGTCTCCAAGATCTTGCACTAGTGCTCCAGTATAGAGATCTCTTACTATCCCAATCGCCACCTTTAGGGATTGTTCCTAGCCACTCAAAGAGGCAAAAAAGGCCAAAAAGATTATTCATTTGGATTATATTTACGATCATACTCTCTCTATTGTGAAGTGTAAAATTTCAGAAAATGCAGCTTGATATGCTTTTGGATGTTGGAAAGTGTGAAAATGTAAATAAAGCCAATTTTTATCGATTAAAATTCAGCTCCCTCTTATCAGTTATCCCGACGTGCCTCATCATAATGCTTTTTTTATTGTATTTTCTGGGACTATTGTTACATAAACTACACTTCAAAGGAATAAAAAGTATTATTTTTAATCAAGTAAAATTTTAATAACTTTTTGATAACATCGCTAATTTTAAAACCATATTGATTTATTAATTAAAAACTTATACAGAATGCACTCCCCACCCGAGAGCTTCTTGCATGCGTTGACCCGACTCCCACTCCCAACCCTAACCTAACCCCTGCTTCAAGAAACGACGCTTATAGTCTCCAACTCTATCACCAACACGAGTGTCCCCAACAGTACTCTCTGCACCTGGCAATAGACTTAATAAATGACTTATGTGCAGCAAATTAGATTTGGATAGATTAAATACAAAGTTCTGATTTATTATAGCCCTTGCTGTCGATCGGCGTCTAAACTACTGCTACGAAAGTAAGAGCTTTGCTGACAAGCGATCAGAGCATCTACACAATTCTTAAGGCCAGTAATAGTAGAATATGGTTCCTTCTGTTAAAGGAGCCCGACATGAATTTCAATACCCATGGAGAATTTCACTATAGCGGCGTGATTAACTTCCACTATGTCCTTAGAGCCACCAATGTGAAGGCATCTCTACTCATCTGCGCTATGTCCAACTAAGTGCAATGCCAGTGGATGATTGCACCATAGGGCAGCGATTACCTTCTATAGAGACTCCAATGCAGAGGCATCTTTTGCTTGTCTGCACTACAATATGGATCAAAAACAAAATATGAATGGCGGGTAATGATGTTTCCAGGTTATGACTTGCTCTCTAGAGAGGCAAACTCAATTTCAACAGTAGTTGATTCATGAATCAAGAATTTGCGGTAGTAAAGTGCCATGAAGGTATTCTCAAGACCCTTAGGAATGTGCTAATCTACAGCCACATAAGAAAGAGCTTTTCTGATACGCCCTTGAGCTTTTACATGGTTCTGCTTGGGCCTATTGATTGTAGAATGATGTGTATAATATGTTATTAGATGCGGCAACAAGTATGGCAATACAAGTGACCATTGCCATAGGTTAGGGATAACCTTTAACCATTCCTTTAGAGCCACCAACGTGGAGGCCAATTCCCTTGCTAGAGAAGGAATAGGCAGAGGCCCTCTTGTTTGGAGAGATCTTCTCAGGTGTTTGACTCTGCCTTCCTACGTATATTCGTCTATCTCCACTTCTGCTACAACTTCATATATAGTTTTGCGTGATGGTTTAATGACCAATTAATAATACTAACAAAACAAATCACCACTATCAATCAAAAAACTCAACTTAGGGTGAAGTAAATAGTATGTGAATAGGTTCTCTGGAAAGAAACCCACAAAAACATTTTCCCTATAAGCACAAGGCATGAACAATTATGGAAGTAAGAAGACTACCAATACCAATAAAGTTGTTAATATAGGTTCATAAGAAGGGCTACATATACAAGGTGAGTCTCCATAGAATCCCATATAGAGAAAAAGGTCGACACTTTCCTACCTGCATTGATTGTGGCTTCAATTGTGCCTTCAGATCCCTAACAGCAGACTGCAATATGCAAATTGCAAAGACAGTCAGCCTTGTAGATGAAGACCAGATTGCCTTTTTAGTGCAGATAAGGCCAAAAAGCAAGATTCTAACCATGACATGGTCCAGACAACCAAAAAGCACCATCATGTTGGAATAGAAGTTAATGGCTAAAGAACCAATGCAACAACCATAACATGAGTAAGGGAAAAGGACAAACTTCACTACACCAAGATCTTAACAAAATTCATTTTCCATGGGAAACAAAGACATACACACCAATTAATAAATTGCCCGTTCTTTCTTTTCTACAATAAGACTTTCCTTTTATAGTATATTTGTGCTAGATTGCTAGTTTGAATATCAAAAAACAAAACCATCAGCTTGGGAAAACTAATTCAGCAAATGGGCAAAACTTCCTGAGAATTCAGATAATTCACATGTTGGCTAGTAGGAAAAGACTTTCTTACAAACTCGCTTCCATGAGAATAAATTTAGTCTCTCCCAGTGAATAAATTTAAAGAGTGTTTGGAAATGCTCCAAAACATTGTTTCAGGGGCTTGCACCATCTAAGGTGATCAACGCTAGGGGGTTGGGAGCCCTGCAATGTAAAGACAATATCATGTAAAATGCCACTTTTCAGGGGTGTTTTACACTATTTTTTATAAGGGCTTTGGGCCCCTTCTTTTATTGTTGTCCCAATGCAATAGAATTCTTTTTCTTTCCTTGCGATACAAATAAACCTCACATGAGCAACATGTAACTCACAATACAAAATCCAAATGACTAAGAGAGGAGAGAAGACTTCATCACATGTTTTTAGTGAAGGCATTACAAAGCGAAGAATTCTCTCCCATATTCTTAGCAAAGTTAATCTAGATAATTTCCAGAACCCCAGCCTCAGTTCAAACCAGTCACCTTCTAGAGACGCACCACCTCAACGATTTTATTTCCATCCCAAATAAGCTAGAGTGCATCACCCCCCATTTTGTGCTCCACATAAACTATCTTGGTATTCCTCATCTATTCAAGCTCAAGCCTCCAGATACTTTATGGCAACTAATGTCGCTTCTCCTTGGCGAGATCCATGCCAAACTCTTATTATACAAAGTAGGCATTAGTCCTTGAAGGTGAAACTCCTTTCCCCAACTCAAAGGAGCCAAACCAACCATACAGCCAAGTAGGATTATGTCATGTGAATCTACAATAATACTCCTCCCTCCATAAAAGCAGATGATTCAACCTCTGCCGATGTGCCATGTAACCAAACAACCCAGTATTCCATTTAGTCATGCTGGTTTAGGCAGCAAAAACTGTCCATGGGAACAAGCCATTCCCCTTCACATAAGACCATGAATTATCAACATCAATTAGCAACATCATGCCTGACAATCCGCAAAGTGCATCAAGTGGTCAAGGCAATGAGCATCTTCTTTGGAAGCAGCAGATTCCTCCTATTTCGCGCGAATATTTGGAAGATGTAAACCCTAAGAGGGTTATCAAGAAGAAAATGAAGAACAAGCACTTCTTGGGATGATTTGTCTAGCCATTTTAGGGTTATTTTTCGATTTTTTTATTACTTTTATTTATTGGAAAAGTTATGGACTTTCTAGAAATTTTATTTAAAGTTAGGGTGTTCATTTTTAAGTTACATTTTAGTTGGGAGGGTTTGGATCATTTTAAGTTATATAAGGAGCATCATGGACCTTTTATGTTTAAGTCAAAACATGGGGATCAATTACTTAATTGTATGGACAAATAATGTCCCTTGAACAATAAACATATAATATAAAGTGGAGTGTGAGAAGGCTAGAGGCCATTCACGTGACTTAAGTTTTTCAAAAAGAGTAAAACCTCCAAGCTTTTTGAACCCTAGTTTGGGTATGGAGAAGAAAAATCCTAGGTTTCTTCAAATAGATGCTTGTATTTAGCTCGTTTTCTTGATTAGTTTACTGTTTCTATCAAATTGTCTTCATCAATTTGTTATTAGAGATCAGGTTTTCTTCAACAAGAAGGCCAAGAAACTGCACGCAAGTCTAGGATATGCTGAGTTTGGACTAAGTTTTGCGAAATCACCCAATATCCTGCTGATTTCAACAAGGTTTTATTGACTCTTGGCCTAGAGTTTGTGATTTCGGTGAATCCAAGGCAATGAGAAAGTGCCATGGAAGGAGGTTTTCGCAGATCCAGTTCATAATCCCACAGACGAAGAAATTGAGGACCTTAAAACGGTAAATTCAGCAACTAACACAGCATTTCGCAAGTCTCTATCGAGGGCAAGGCGGTGATCTTACGACCCAAGAAGATCTAGGGTAAAACACTCTTCACCACCACACTCTGCATGTGAAGTCGAGTGATAAGGATAGTGACAGGATGCCTAGACGTGGCGTGCCTTGCTCTAAGGATATTGATTGCAAAGTGGATACACCTGATTTTGATAGTAAGCCGCAGCCCAAGGAGTTCACAGATTGGTTAAGCACTGTAGAAAGAGTTTTTTATTATTAGGAAGTTCACAAAAATAAATAGATAAAAATTATTGCCATAAAATTGAAGAAAGGTGCCTCTGCATAGTGGGAAAAGCCCAGTATAAGGGGCTAGAAGGAAAAAAATGGGAAAGGCCCAAAATTAATACAAGGGAGGAGTTGAAAAAGAAATTAAAGGAAACATTCCTACCTGAAAATTACCAACAATTCCTTTATTATAGGATGAATAACCTTCTTCAAGGAAAAAAAGGTGTGTAGAGGAACACACCAACGAATTTTATCATTTGATGGCTCATAGTGATGTGGTTGAAAGAAAGGAACAGTGCATAACTTACTAAGTTGGAGGGCTAAGAATATCTATACAAGATGTGGTGGTTTTACAGAGTTATGGACCTTAGGTGAAGCGTGTAACCTAGTAGTTAAAGTTGAAGCTCAGCAAAGGCGTCCATCAAGAAGGTGGGTTGCAGCCCAAGGTGTTACAAGCGGCCACAGAAGTGAATTCAAGCGAAAAAGTGGGAATTTGGTGGCAGGATAGTCCTCTCGACCTGCTGGTCCGTCCAAAAAGCAAGCTACAGTGGGTGTTGGGACCAGCTCTAGTCACATGAATCGCCTAAACAATAGCTTCATTAAGTGCTTTAAGTGTTCAGGAATCAAACGTGTCTTGTCTCAGTGCCGAATCAGAAGAGGGATGTGCTAGCCTTCTCTCGTTGGCGGAGTTTATAGCGGGGTTAGAGGAGTCCACGACGATGTTTGCAGTGACCTAAGTGGAGCAGCAGCCTGCCAGTTTGGTTCCATCACAGAGAGAGCCCTTAATAAGGAACTATAATGATATCATTCTGAATGAGTTACCTGAGAGGTTACCAAACATGAGGAACATACATCACATAGACCTCGTTCCTAGGTCTAACCTACCGAACAAGGCCATGTATAGAATGAGTTCTAAGGAGTATAAAGAATAGTAGAGACAGGTAACAGAGCTTATGCAGAACAGATTCATTAGAGATAGCACGAGTCCCTACATTATCCCAGCCATATTAATGCCTAAAAAGGATGGGACTCGGCTATGTGCATGGACAATAGTGCTATTAACAAGATCACAATCAAGTACGGCTTTCCAATTCCGCACCTTGATGATATATTGAATATGCTAGCTGGTGCTATTGTGTCTTCAGATATAGATTAGAGAAATGGGAACTATCAAATCCATATTCAACCAAGAGATGAGTGGAAGACTGAATTCAAAACACGTGGGCCTTTATGAGTAGTTCGTGATGCCATTTGGCCTATCCAATGCTCCCAATACTTTTATGAGGGTGATGAACCAGGTGTTTAAGCCTTTTATTGATAAATTTGTGGTTGTCTGCTTCAATGGTGTTCTAGCATAAAACATTTGTAAGCAGACGCATATGGAGCATTTGTCGTTAGTGTTATTTCCTCAGCAACAGAATGGATCATTTCCATGAAATGCCAATTCCACCTAATTTGTTGGAATTGAGATTTCCAAAATTTAGGCTTAAAATAGGCATTCAGGAATCCCACGGAAATCTTAATTCCAACGGAAATGTCAATTCTAAACGAACCAAACATGATAAGGTATGAGCTACCAGGGTTTGGCCTACTCCTACTACAATGCATGATGGTTACAAATTTCATGGATTGGCTACTTTCTACAGGAGGTTTATCAAGGGCTTAAATTCGATCATAGCACCCATCACAGAATGCCCAAAGAAGGACTTTTGTAAGAAATCATGAGGCAGATATGAGTTTCCAGCCGATTAAGCAAAAGATGTCTGAGGCACCTGTGTTAGCTCTTCCAGGCATTGATAAGGTCTTCGAGTTGGATTGTGATGCTTGATATGTTAGGATCGTTGCGGTATTGAGCCAAGAAGGTCTCTCGATTGCACTCTTCAGTGAGAAGTTAAATGACACCTGGCGACGATTTTCTAAATATGACTTGGAGTTTTGTGTTATTACACAAGCATCAAGGTATTGGCGGCACTATCTGATCTAGAGGGAGTTTGTTTTGTTCTCAAATCATGAAGTACTGAATGTGGGAGACTGGGTGATGGTGTATCACAGAAAAGAAAGGCATCCAACAGGCAAATACAATAAGTGGAATAATTGCAAGGCAAATCAAGATTTTGAAGATGATGAGCAGCAACGCTTATAAGGTCGCTTTGCCTTCGCATCCGGGACTTCGAATATCTTCAACATTACTTATTTGTTTGAATATCATGGGCTTTTTGCCTTTGCATCTGGAGACTTTGGATATCTTCAACATTGCTTATGTTCGAATATCATGGGCCAGAGATGGATGAAGATGAAGGTTCTAAACCTAGGGCGAGTTCTCCACAACCCGGGGCAAAACCTTGGGTGCAAGACCTTGAGTCGAATGGATGATTTGAAAGTTGAACTTGGGCTCAAATTCAAGTACCAAAGAACCAGCACAACCTGATGGGTCATTGGCAGCATCATGCATGGGTATTATGGCCGTTGATCCATGTACAAGAGGCATGGAGGACCATACACCTAAGCTAC